AATTTTGCTGCCCCCAAAACCCCAGCCCCTTCCCCACAGGCAGCAGAGTGCAAAGCCCACTCCCACAGGGCCCGGGGAACTCCTCTGATGGGGGAGGTGGTAGGAACTCAGGTCCCAGGGCCAACTGCAAAACCCTTTGAGCCGCTACATGAAAACAAAACCACTCTCCTCTGTCTGAAGTTTAATGATTCTGACAGAGTTTTACCAAGGGGAGGAGAGAGGCGAAGCAATGGAGGGAAAGGACATTGTTCCAAGCAAGGTCAGGTAAAAGCTTTCCTCCCACAGAGACGCTCCTAAAATTGCAGGCTTCTGGCCCAGCTCTACCTTGCTTGGCTCTGCTCAAGGCATCAGCCTCTTGGGTTGCTTCCAAAGGAGCAGAGAGACACCACGCTCGCTCCACCTCAGGACCATCTTGCGTTGCAAGCCATACAGCTCCATTTCCCAGGTTATCCGGACGAAGGACAGACCGCTTCCCACAGCGCTTGTGTGATTGGATACCCCTGAAGGACATCTCACGCTCACCCGTGCTTCAGAGCAGCTGCTAGGTGGGATGAAGAGGGCTTGAGAGAAGAAGGGCAGGTGGGAGGTGGTGGTAACATTCACCTTTATTAGGTAACAGATGCTCACAAGCCCCGGAACAGGGTTTTCAGAGAGCAGATATGGTCCCTGGGGAACCTCCCCGCCACCAGTTGCGCCCCATTTCACAAAGCATCCCAACTCTGAATTCCATGCGGATAAATAGACTTTCTTCACGTAATCCATAAAACAATTTCCTCCCACCTCCAAACAAAAAAAAAAAGTTACAGTATATACACACACACAAACATACATATATAAAAAAAGGTTGTAGGGACAGATGGGCAGCAAATTTATGAACAGTGTAGAAAAAAAACGGGGCAAAGATCCCTGGCCCTGGAGGGGAGAGAAGAACCAGCAGCGTGCTCCGTAGATCGTGCCGTTAAGCTACCCAGGTTTCAGCCCAGCCCAGCCGGGGTCCCCTGCAGCCCACACCCCAGGACTCGGCCCACCCTTCATGACAAAGGGAAGCCTCAGCATCTCTGTTTTTTCCAGAAGTCTCACTTCCTTCTTTCCTAAAGCACAAAAATTCCCCTGCGTTGGACACAGATCTGGGGAAATGCGAAATAACTCGGAGGTTGCCATAGGAGTTTCTGTATTTTAGGAAAAACCCGTGACCGGGAAGACAGTGTGACAGCCACTTAGGAGGAAACAAGGTAGGAGGATGTGATCCATGCCCCAAAATAGGCTCACTGATAAGCTAGGAAACTCAGGACGGGCACCCAAAAAATCCCACCCAAACCCAAGAGCTGTCCTGCGCACTTAGGATACCTGCTCAAAGGAGACGTGACTGCCACCAGAGCGTCCCCTACACTGATCGAAGACACACAAGGGCAACCTCTCCTCTCTCAAAGGACAAGCTCCCTTCCGACTGCTGACACTGGAAAGCAAGGGACCCCCCCACCCCGCCTGCCAGTAGGGCAGGAAGCACAGGCTGCCAGCTACTCCCCAAAAAAGGGGGGGGGAGGGAGGGAAGCATCTTCTGGTCCCCACAGTTTGCAGCTCAGCTATAGCCCAGGGGCACTGGGAACAGGCTCTCCTGGGAGACGGGTTTCCCCTGACCCCGTTTTTCCATCTTGTTGAAGCCAGGCAACTCTAGGACTAGCACTACTTGTGTGCAATTCCTGCAGCACGCAAAATCCCCCTCCCAGATGCCAAAAGACCCCGTGCAAAGTGAGACAACAAGCCCCCATCTGTTTTCCCCTCATTTTGGAAGGAGTTCAAGCTCTCGTGCCCCTCTGCAAAAGCGGGATACATGTAGAAGCTTCTTGCAAAACAGCCCGGAGTTCTGATTTTGCAGGAGGAGTCGGGCTGCACGGGCCTGACTGGGACGGGAAAGGACTGGGCTGCTGCCTGCACAGCTCCCCCCCAAAAAAGGGGGGGGGAGGGAGGGAAGCATCTTCTGGTCCCCACACTTTTGTTTGCAGCTATAGCCCAGGGGCACTGGGAACAGGCTCTCCTGGGAGACGGGTTTCCCCTGACCCCGTTTTTCCATCTTGTTGAAGCCAGGCAACTCTAGGACTAGCACTACTTGTGTGCAATTCCTGCAGCACGCAAAATCCCCCTCCCAGATGCCAAAAGACCCCGTGCAAAGTGAGACAACAAGCCCCCATCTGTTTTCCCCTCATTTTGGAAGGAGTTCAAGCTCTCGTGCCCCTCTGCAAAAGCGGGATACATGTAGAAGCTTCTTGCAAAACAGCCCGGAGTTCTGATTTTGCAGGAGGAGTCGGGCTGCACGGGCCTGACTGGGACGGGAAAGGACTGGGCTGCTGCCTGCATCTAGGTGCTCCTCACTGCCAACGCAGAGCGCACACCGGCTACACACAGGGAGAAACAGTGATGCCCACCTGCCAAAGGCTGGTTTCCACATTTGCACATGCGAGGGGGCAACCGCTTTGCATTTCTTTGGAGAGGTGCAACAGGAAAGGCAGAGAGGGCAAATTGTTCCTTCCCCGTACCCAATCTGCAACTCCCCAACCTCCCCGTCTTGGAAAGTCACAGGCAGTTCAACACCTGCAAGTCAAACTGCTTTGAATAGCAACAGTAATGGAGCTGGGAGACTTGCACCCCAAACCAGAGCCTCCCAGTCCCTGCAGGAGCTCGGGGGCTGTTGAGTGGTTGGAGAAGGGAAGGAGAAACACCTGAAGACAGACCTGGAACAGGGAGCTGAGTAAAATAAAAAACTCGTTTCTAAAAATTGTTTCTAAAAATTGTTCCTGCATCAACAAAAAGGCACCAGAGAAGCATTCGCCCTTCACGATGGGCGCTGCACGTCCACCTCTGCTGCTACCCAGCACCAGAGGACCAGGGACCCCCTGGCCTTCTCAAAGGCTCTGCTCATTGTAGGCTGCCGCAAACCCAGCCCCCTGCCAAAAACCAGAGGGGCTATCGCAGGAAGGAAACGCATGAAGTGGAGAAGAAGGGAAATCTGCTGCATTGTTCCCTATGTTTTTGTAAAGCTGCAAAACACTCCTATAAAAAAACCTGTATAAAAATGGTAGAGAAATTCACCAGGCAGTACTGGCCCCAAGCACCTCTCTAAGTTGGGTCTAGGGGGGTTCAGTTTCCTGACACACAGCTCAAGGAAGCTGGTGCCTTCCCCCCACCCTCTCTCAGGAACAGCCCCAGACCCCAGCAGCCCCATGGGGCAAGGCTTGAGCAGATCCTCTGCCCTCCCCAAAGGTTTCTTTCCACAGAGGTGTTTGGGAAGGGAACAAGATGCCCCTCAGGACAGACACGGGATGTGCCACTTCTCTATGCCTTGAGCTTGTGGGCTTCTCCCCCCAGCAGGGACGGGGGCTCCGGATCAGGGCAGTGCTTCCCAACAGCCCCAGGCACAGTCCCAAAAACCACAACTAGGCAGATTTCTGCCGCAGCGCCTGAGAACAAGCAAGGGGGCTAATAAAGCTAAACCTGGGGCAAGTTAAAAACCAAAACAAAACCAAACCCCTCCCTCTCCCACCCCATCGCGATCCCACCAGCACAGCCCTAACCTAGTGCCTTTTTTTTTTTTTTTTTTTTTTTTTTTTTTTTTCTTTTTTTTAAGCTCCAGAAGGGAAGTCCAGGCTGACCACCGACGAGGGCTGTCTTTGCACGAGGCGGCCCCACACTGGCGTTAGGAGGCGGCGATGGCCGTGCCCCCACTCAGCTTGACGATCATCTGCTGGCAGTCGTTGCAGGAGCGCTTGTCCCCCACCTTCTCCAGGGTGCGGGCAGCCTCAGCCAGCAGGACCGCTCGCTGGCCCGGGGAGGAGAGGAAGGAGAGGGGGAGATGGCGGCAGGCCAACAGGATGGCCGTGGCTCGCTCCCTCTGGCCTGGCAGGGTGTCCAGTTCACCTGTGCGCAAATTGGAGAGAGAAAGCTGATGATGAAGCTACCTCCTCCATGATGAAACCCCGCTATGCAGCCCTCAACCAGCACCATTTAGCACAGGCACCCCTGGCTGGTGGCCCCTGGCTGTGCCAAGAGTGAGGGGCACCCTGCAGATCCCCAGGCAGCTGCTTTAGGCTGGCAGGGGAGAACAGTCTGAGCTGGAGTCAGGCAGGGACTGGCAATCCTGTCTTCTACAGAGATGGTCCCTTTTGCTTAACTTCCTAGGGCTCATCCCAGCACCGACACACACATCTGCCCATTTCCTTACACCCCCAAGGGATTTTATAACCAGCACCATGTCTCTCAGCTCCGCCCCCCCCCTTTAGGATTCCTGGCTTCTGCCTTTGCATGACTGCCCTGAACTCCAGCCTGCTGTTTTGTACGTGCATGGCTGCACCAAGGTAAATGTTTTCTAGCCTGTTCGCCCGGCACCTCCAGCCTAGAGCTGGCAGCTCAGGTTAGCAAGCTTGTAGAGAGCATGGAAGAAGCATCACCCTGAGCATAGTCTGACAGGAACTCGTTATCCTGAGCCTCAGACACGGGGAAGACACTGCAGCCTTGAGCTATGCCCCCTCCCAGCCCCACAGGCAGC